TTCGTCATAACTGCGGAAAGTGGTAAAAATTACAGATGCAAATGGTGTTGATATTTAAGTATCCATTTCTGTTACTGTCTTTAGCCCCTTTCACACAGCAATACCAGACCTCATTATCATAATGGGGACTTTACATTCACTTTATTTTATACTTGTTTACAAACTCAATTATTATCAATTAATAATCAATATTTTTTCTTGTATGAAGTATTTCCAATTTATTATTTTTGCTTATATTAAGAATTTTTTTTAATTTATTGACTAAAATAAACATGTTACCAAGTTTAATTTATGCAAAAAAGGAGGAAATAAACTAGACTATAAAAAAACAACACAAAAGAGGAAAGAGATATCTATCAATATCATATTTAACAACAACTACAACAATAATAATAATTAATTATTATTAATTATCAGTAATTATCATTATCAAAATCAGTATTTGATTTAATGTTTAAATTTAATAAAAATAAATTAATAAAACGGATTGGCCTGACAAAAATATGAATGTTACACTTGTCAATATAGTAAACCAAAAGAACAAATCAAGCAATGGTTTCACATACCAACCAACATTAACAATTATACTGTAATGAATGGAGCTTAGTTGGTTTAGTTGTTTTTCATTTGGATACATAGCCTATACTAATTCTGTTGAGTTCAAAACCACGAGCGGGCCTGATGATGACGCCAAGTGATCCTAAAAGCTGATTGGCTTATAAAGTTACGTTTAATAATGATTCGTCATAACTGCGGAAAGTGGTAAAAATTACAGATGCAAATGGTGTTGATATTTAAGTATCCATTTCTGTTACTGTCTTTAGCCCCTTTCACACAGCAATACCAGAAAATTGCCGTAAAATTACCGGAACGACTTTGCCGGTAAATACAAAATTGAGCTGTTCACACAAGCAAAATCGTTCCTTTTTTTTCCCATTAACACATCAGTTTCAAAATACCAGTAAATTCAGAGACATCATTAACCGGAAACGACCTCTAAATGGCTGCGCCTCCCGGTGTTTTTGTAAACATGTAAGGTATATGCGGTCAGTGTTTTTGTTGATGGTTTAATTTTTGTGAGCGCGTTCTGAATTTGTACGTGCTCATACCGATAATCTGGCTTTGCGTTCACACAGAGCAAATTACCGATAATTTACTGGTAATTTTACAACTTCTCAATTGCTAGAACGACTTAACAGGTATTTTTTAAAAGTCCTCTTCAAACATGATCAATTAACGGTAATTAATTTACCCAGTAAAGACTGTATGTGTGAAATGGGCTTTTGTCGTTCGTGTAGTGATTAAAACTTGCCTGAGCTATCACACATGAAAGACAAATTTAAAACACACCTTTACATATATATTCACCTGAGTTATGCACATTAGAACATGGACTGGTTAAAACTGTTTAGTAGTATCAATCTTCAGGGTTCATCTTGACCTCTGACACTATTTGGGTCTACTAACGGCACTCCAGGAGTGACGTTGGCGGATGCAGTTCTTCCACCAGCCAATCACAGCATTCGGGAGGCGGGCGCTCGCCATTCGAGCCATCAAAGAGATGATGGAGAACTGGGCTGCGTTCAGCCCTGACAAAACGGTGCAAAACGTTTTTTAAACGGAAACGGTGGTGAGTTGAACACTCTGTTCTGATGACGCAAGAGTTGCAACTATGGCATGACAAGTCATTTATTGAGCACTATAATAACTTCTGTCTGATGAGATTTTATTAATTTATGCCTAATAACTGGTGTCGCAGATGTTCGTTACCAATAAACAAACAAGTACTGACTAAAAACGAATATAGTCACTAATAGATAATGACACTTATTGATTACTAATGATTGGTGTGATGTCAGTTTATTGTACATTATTATCTGGCACGACTTTACATATCACTAATAAGCACTCACGTTTAATGTAAAAGCTCTTTCTTTAGCTTCAGTGTTGGTATTGCTAACTTGAACAAAAACTATTAAAATAGTTTCGTTAAATGAAATACAGCAGAAACGAAATGTATAAAACTTAATACGAAAATGAGAAATATCTTGTATTGGCAACTACTTGAAGTACTAAAAGTACAAAATTTAATTAAAGCTAAATATAAATAAATATAAAAATAAATTTCAAAAGCACGTAACACAATTACTAAATTAATGAAATGAATGACTAAACTAACGAAAATATAAAAATAAAACCTAATTATTATTTTTCTGTTAAATTCTACAGTAGTATATAAATAGTACTAAAATATTACAATTATACAAAAACAACACAATACTAATAATAACAATAATACTAATATGTACAGTAGCAGCTATTAATCTATATTAATCAAACTTTGGCACCAGCTGTTCATTGTTAAAGCAAATTTGTTCATATGAATAAGGACCACAAACTGTTATGTGAAATGACCATAATATGTCAACAACTGCATGTGACACGATATGAGACACTAATATTTGTTTTAAATCCTCAGTTTGGATGCAAAGGCCACAAATATCCAGATAACAGTGAAAGAAGGCGGACTAAAGCTCATCCTGATTCAGGACAACGGCACTGGAATCAGGATAAATGACTTATTTATCAGCCTCATCTTCTGCTGCTCAGAGCAGGTCAGATAAAACCTCCAGCTCTTCCACTGCCGCTCAAGGTCCAGCAGAGCCAGACGACTCAGAACTGCTGAATGCTCTTGATGTTCTGGAGCAGTGTGACACCAAGGATCAACAGACAGACAGTCAACCTCCTCCCCATGAAGCACCACCAAGGTGAAAAAACAGGCTGTTGAGGAGTTTTGTGTGGGGCTTCTGTTATAGTAAAGGTTGCTATTTTTATGATGACACTGCTTTGAGAAGAATACCTTTATTTGACATTAAATTGTTAAAGTTGGCCAACATGTCAGTACTGAGAATATAGCCCCAGTCATTAACCTCTCTACTTCCAATTCTACACTGAACAAAATTATAAACGCAACACTTTTGTTTTTGCCCCCAGTTTTCATGAGCTGAACTCAAAGATCTAAGACTTTCTCTATGTACACAAAAGGCCTATTTCTCTCAAAAATTGTTCACAAATCTGTCTAAATCTGTGTTAGTGAGCACTTCTCCTTTGCTGAGATAATCCATCCACCTCACAGGTGTGGCATATCAAGATGCTGATTAGACAGCATGATTATTGCACAAGTGTGCCTTAGGCTGGCCACAATAAAAGGCCACTCTAAAATGTGCAGTTTTATCTCACAGCACAATGCCACAGATGTCGCAAGTTTTGAGAGAGCGTGCAATTGGCATGCTGACTGCAGGAATATCCACCAGAGCTGTTGCCCGTCAATTGAATGTTAATTTCTCTACCATAAGCCATCTCCAAAGGCATTTCAGACTTCAGAGAATTTGGCAGTACATTCAACAGGCCTCACAACCGCAGACCACGTGCAACCACACCAGCCCAGGACCTCCACATCCAGCATCTTCACCTCCAAGATCGTCTGAGACCAGCCACCCAGACAGCTGCTGCAACAATCGGTTTGCATAATTTCTGCACAAACTATCAGAAAAGGTCTCAGGGAAGCTCATCTGCATGCTC